AATGGTGTATCTTAGTTTGTTTTAGATTAGTATATAGAAGGTCGCAGGTTAACCTGCAGTTAGTATTATTATCCTGTTCTTTAGTTAGTTAGGTTTTTTGCAATTTTTCTTTTTTGTTTACTTATTGTTTTGAGATCTATGGGAAAGAGTTTTTTTTTAATATATACTTGTAAACACATATGTGCACTATTTTAACATAACCACATCGCTAGTATTTATTATGTGTCATACTATCATATGATTTAACAGTCCCATGGGTCTGCTTTTCTGCGATCACTTAATGTCAGGTTTATCAATTCGAATGTGCGATAAAAACTTAACCAGCTTTAATAATCAATGGCCTGCATTATTACTTTGCAATGACCCTTCGGGTCTAAATTTATGTGGTGTCACTCTTCTGCAGAATCATTTCTCACGATCGATTTTTGTTAACAGTTACTAAACGAATAATGACTAAAAGCTTTATTATACACAATCTTATGATAAGAAAAGAGATGAATGGGGCTTAAAAGGGCTATAAGAGGGAAGAGTACAAATTCCTTATCAGTAGTTTTACCCAAATTCATATGTTATGCGGGGCTTGGAATCCCCAGATCTTGAAGATTGTTAACTTTTTCACTTCACAGGAGCAATCGTCAAATCTAAGGGGATTTAATTTACCTATAAAGCAACAAAATAGATTCAGTATTTGGAGCTTATAACCGAATAGACTTGCTTTTCATAGTGTGATCTAGATTGCGTTACCTTAACCCAATTACTAATCATATAACTTTTTTTTCTGCCAAGTTTTTTGGATCTAGCGAATAAAGGGTATAAAAATAAACAAGTTTCCACCATAAGATAAGTTAGCAATACCGTTTTTTGGCTCATATTTATTTTTACTTGATTCACCTACCTGTAATTTATTTTTAAAATAATTTGCTATTTCATTTAACGGAATTTATGAAAATGAAATTTTACTTACTATATTTTTTGTATTAGGTACGAAAATGAATAGTAATAAAAAAACCACCCCCAAGACCAACAATAGTAATGCCCCCAAGACTAATAATAGTAATGCCTCTAAGACCAACAGTAATAACACCTCCAAGACCAATGATAATAATACCTCCAAGACCAACCAAAGTGACGCCCCTAAGACCAATAATAGTAACACCTTCAAGACCAATGATAGTAATGCCTCCAAGACCAATGATAGTAATGCCTCCAAGACCAATGATAATAACGCCCCAAGAACAATGATAATAATACTCAAAAGAACCTCTATACTTGTAAATAAAGTTTACATTGCGTAAATATTCTACAAAAATAATTTCCTCAAAAATATAACCACCTGGGACTTAGTTTCTTTTTCTATTCAAACTAGATGATATCTATAATGAACTGATTTCACATTACTATGAATATGGAGATGAGGGTAACAATTCTCTTAAAAGTTATATGTGGTATTCAACTGGTGATGCCGATTGTAGTGATCAGGATAATTATGATCCTTAATAAATAATCAAAAAAAAATTTATTATTTATTTTTTATTTGTATATTATATTGCTGTTCGGCAACAATTTTTTATGAAATAAAGAGGGGGTCCACTGGGCTCGTCATTTTTTATTTTTATGCGATTGTGTAAATGAGTATTGGTCACTATTTATACTGTTATTTAGATTTTTATTAATGTTAAACAATGATCTACTAATGATGTTTATCTAAGCCTGCAAAGCAATTAATAACTTCTTTTGATCTACCAGGGCTAGCTTTATTCATATAAAAAATAAAAACAAAATACAGAATAAAAATATACATATTCAGAAATTTTTTATCTAAAAATTTTTTGGTGGAGAATATGTTGTCGACATCATTGATGTTGATGGAGTCCAATTTTCAGTTACCGGCAAAAGACTAATTTCATCCTTCACATCAACAGACATTGCAATAATTTTTTTTACCATAAACCTCATTTTAAGGGCGTTCTTTAAAAATTCTTCAACTATTGGGCATAAGGAAATACGTAATGATATAACCAACTTACATATTCGGAAAACCCGATAAAAATCATCTTCAAATAAGTCTAACGCAGAAATGATCAGACGATCTCGTATTACTTGGATACCTAAAACAGGAACTTTCTCTAACTTATCATTTATCGATCTGGCTATATCAGTAGTATCATCCCTCCCATCAAAAAAAACATTATATCATTCATCAAAACAATCTTTGCAAATACATATCAATTTTTTCCAGTCGATAATTTCTTTATCTTGTTGAGGCAGTAATCGTGAAACCTCAGCAAGTACTATTTCATTTTCCACTGTGTCAAGCTTTAACAAAACTTGTAGATCTGGCTTCTTTCCTGAATTCGTGGCTTTCATTCGTTCCATCCTAGACTGTGAAGACTTGTTTGTCTGCTCAGACCTATACGTATTAAAATTTTTGTATAGCATTTAGCAGGTCTTTATATATTTATAATGATCATTATAAAAATAATTACAGTATATATATTACTATGCAAGTTTAAGGGACCACTTCAAATATGTAAAGATTAGATCTAAAACCTTTGATACAGCATAAATTACATATAAGTTCTCGCTATAATCATCTTCCGTTAATAATGGTCTCAGACTCCAAATATGTCGCCTAGAATTAGAAATACTCTTAATTAATGATATAACCTTATATAAATATACATATAATTTAACACAAATAACTTACAATCCTTCTAACAAGTCAAAAACCGCCATCAGTATACATCTGGATTTAATAGACATTTCTCCTCATAGAAAGGCTATTGGTCGCATTAATACAGGATCAAAGTCAGGTCTCAGATCTTTATACGTGTCTACGAAATCATCCATCATGAATTTAATTTCTCCCAGAAATTTATTATTGCCGAACTCATGGTGCATCAAAATCTGCTTAGACCTAGACGATAACAAATTTACAAATGGGTCTTCATTTCCAGAGAGATCAATAATACCAGATGCTAAAGGAACTTCTGGTTTAATTGTTGCTAGATCTAAGCGTTCCAAATGATGAACAATTTCGATATATGCGATTATAGTAGCTTCCGAGCAACTATTTCCTAGCTTAACTCTCTATAGATAATATTTCCCAATTAACAATAAACACACCAGAAATCAAAATTATGATATTTACTTACACATCTGCTTAATATAAATTCTATATTCTCTTGAATTATATTAATGTTACATTCCTGTTCCATAGCTTGTCGCTATATTAGTAAAAAATGAAAAAAGATAAGTGCTTTTCGTTTTGGATAGTATGAGGTACATATATATTTATACTTACTTTCTCTTTTTCTTTCATCCAAGCTTCTTTATAAAATTTTTGATGTTGTTCCTAAAACAGAAGAAGAAAAATAACTTAATCTAGTATCTTCAAGATAATATAATTATATAATATAATATATGAAATCAGCTATTCCAAAGTTATTCATTTTCTATAATATAAATGGGATCTATGCCCATGGTCAGCAATAAGGTACACAAGGCATAGCTCGTACCGAACCTAGTATGAGACCCACACTGGAACGATGAATCCCCTGAACTGCACCCTTCGATGCTTACAGTGCTAGCATTCCATAAGCTAAGATATATGCAAAAACTTTATCATGTACACCTGGATACAGACAGCAACATAGGCCTATATTGTTATTTTTTCATCCCCTTCTGCAAAATTGTTCATCATCTTCCGAAAAAATAGATAACCCATTTTTTATTATATACCTTAGAAGTCATGTTAAACTGAGATAAGATCTCCACTAGCTTTCGCTTATTTTTTGAATTATTTGTCCTACACGTAGTTATAGCTTCTTCTAGCTCCTGGCGGTATTGAAATTCTGCTATATTAACATTGTTTCTTCTCAAAGTCTTAATCTTCAGTAGATAGACATTTGGCAACTATTCTTTAAAATACAATACATTGCTTCGTTAGTTGCGGTTAAGGTAAAAATAATTTTCAGACATTTTGGAAGCAATAAATGTTAGTTCAATTTTTTAATCACTGTAAAGCGATAAACTTCCATAACTTCATTATACTCCTCTTTATAAATGGATTTCACTCTTCTTTGAATGGCAGTACAAATGACAAAAGAATAGCAGAAAAAGGACCTATATGCGCTCTACGCCATTTTTTTACATTCTACATTACACTACGTTGGTCATAAGGTAACCTTTAGGCATGTGGGATGCATGTTGGAGATCTCGAGATCTTCAGCATTACAGTGTAGAGAAAGATCCCTATGTATTATACTTCGCCCAACTACCTAGTAGAGCCTTTATTTTTTATTATAAAGACTATAAAAGTGAAAATATATATGTTTTGGTTAGAATAAATAAATTTTTGTACCGGCTTTGAAGTAGATCTAAAACTTGGATATTATTTTTTCTATGAACGTTTGTAAATAAAATTCCAAAAAATTCGTATAAAGATTTGGTTGCACAGATAACATATGTGTCATGAGATTGTTGACCGAATTTGGGTTAGGGTACTATTTCGAGAAAAACTTAAAAATGGTACTTTTTACTCGTTCCACATGAGTTATGCATAATGATAAGCCTTGTAAGGTATTATAGTACAAATAAATTTATATATATGTGAAATTTATTCTAACACGTTATTGCATTCACACTGCTTATATATTCCATTCGCTACTTTTTTGCATGTTTTGCAATATAGATGTGAATGGTGATTGCATTCGTCACAAACCTTACACCCATGCTTTCATCCTTTAAAGATATGCCATTTTTCGATATAATTTCGACTTCTTTTATTTGTATTATTCCACATTTGTATATTAATAGAAAAAATAATATACACGTGGTTATTTTTTTTATACAAACCTGTAATTAGTATACTTGCATTTATGCCCTATCTTGTTATAAGCCTCATAAGGCAGGAGAATTTTATGAGGAAAAAAAGATAAGCCATTAAGCAGTAAGATTTATAGGAGTACATGAGTTTAAAAATAATTGATAAGCATATATATTGACTTTATTTATAGAAACGATAAGCATGTTTAGATAATGTTAAAAGATGGAAAAACTTTAGCAAGTGTGACCAGGCGGTCACAGTTGAGTAAAAATTTGATATTTATCAAAATCGGAAAATTTTTGGTAGCTATGACCCACACTTGAATAAAATTTGACGCAGTAAATTTCATTGGCTCGCTTTTAAAACCTTAGCTTTTACATAATCAATATTATTCATGCCCAGTCTTGAAATAGTTGACGCAGAAAAAGACTTAATACAATATATCTTTCCTTCCCCTCCAACCCTATCAAAGAGTTTAAAGATTTTTATTGCCCTTTCTTTCCTTTTTCTAAGATTAGCCTCTGAAACTTGTTTTAGTCTAGAAAGTGCTCCCGAATTTTATCATTAACTAGAGAATTGGACGTATCCTTACTATATGTTTTTTTATAATGGTCAAACCATAACCTATACCCTTTCCCAAAATAATAATATGCATGAATCACTTCTAGAATAGTTTTTTTATTACTATCTTCGGCATTGATGATCTTATTTTCTAGTTCAGGAAAATTAACCGAGCTAATATCCATATTAGGGAATGTTTGTAGAGAAATAATACTACCAGAAGAGCTTTGCTGTGGAATTGGAGCGGACAATTCCTTGATAAGCTTTTTCAAAATAGGCAAATCTTTTCTTCTAACTGCTTTCTTTGCCTTCTTCTTGGGTGAAGATAAGTTGATGTCTGTACCTTCATTGGAACATTTTTTACTGCTGGTATCAGGTTGTTCTTCGTTATCAACACTCATTTCTTCTTCCTCTTCCGGTTTCATATTAGTTAATGGACATATAGGACATAGTTTTTGTGAATTATTGATACAATTGTAATGGATAATATGTTTGCAGGTTAAGCATATGAGTGGTTTCAAGGGGCCTTGAAGTTGGGGAGAGAACCAAAGAAAGCCTATAGGTAGGAGATATGAAGAAAGATCTTTAGAACATTTGGCACACCTCAAATTACTTTTGACTTGTTGGGTTGCTGTATCTTCGATCCCTTCCATCTGTATAGGTGGTATTCATATAGGTAGTGAAAATAGAACAAATGTTTCACCCATCAAAGGTGAAATTCCAGTTGATTGGGAGGCCTCCTTGGGATTAGTTAACGGCAAATTGGAAACAGTGCCAAGGGGATTGGCTTGATCTAATATTTCCACATTCTTTCCACAACCCAGGAATGGACATGTGTTTGGAACAGTAAGTAAAAGCTTTTTTTCGATACAGAGTCTATGAAAAAGGTGTCTGCATGCTAGGTATGTGAATGCTTTGAGAGGAGATATTAAAATATCATTGTCACATTCAGAGCATGGCCCTAGTTCTGTAATTTTTTTACCCTTAATAATGCCATCCTTGAAGGTTTTAAGAATATTATATGCGAGATTTTTGATGTTATTAATAGGAGCAGTTGATGTGGAAGTAGAGGTAGACATATTCAAGAGTAAAATTTATGTGATTAGATTTGTATGCGTTAATATAAAGTATAACCAGATAAGTATTTCACAATTTTTTTTTATACTTAGCTCATTTTTATACATTAAACACCCTCATGATTAAAAAAATTAGTTTGTGGATTTTATGAAATCTTATTTTGAATTTGGTGATCTGTTCATTTACGAATTATTTAGTATAGGCCAGGATCGCTTGATCTTTGCTGGCAATCATGAATAAATAATTTAGCTTAAGGGTAGACCCAAAAAGTTATTGCTCTGCAATAAGTGCAGTTAGTGAGTTGGTTAGTACCGAAATACTTTTATGCTGATCTCTGATTCGTGGATTTAAAACACATAACATCACTCTCTTGAGGCCCATTATAACATAATGTGATTTACTTCACTTTGTGGCTATATATAAGATCATCAAGCTCGATAATTAACTTTACCTCTTACTTTACTCTTTCGAATAGAGCGTTTCTTTACTGCTCTAGTCTTATGCGCATATGTAACTTCTATTTCTGAACTAGATGTGAAAGAATTACTTGAATTGCTGTCTGAAGTGTCTGAATTAGAAGAAGCATCTGTGGAATATTTGACATTATTTTTTTTATTCTTATTTTTGGAAACATTGTCATTTAATCTTCTGGATGGTAGATGTGTAGGAGGTATGTTGCAAAGCAATGACCTTTTGGGTCTATCTTCAATATTTGAGAAAATTTTGTTAATTATATTCATAACCTTCTCTTGAGCTAGACCAGGTTTAGATTCAGTTGATTTAGATAAATTATTTTTAGTAGAGCTGGCTTTGTTAAAATCTTCATCAAATAATGGGATGCTTATACCATCTATTATAATTTTAGCATGGCAGACACGGGTTTTGGGAGAATGTCCAAAGCTTATTTTTGCTTCACACATCCATAACCAATCTTGCCCCAACATCAGATCGAATAATGGATTTTTGTGAATTTGAAAGTCTATTAGTTTAGTATCACCTAAACTTTGCCACTTTCTTTTAATGCGAAACTGTAAATCTAAACCTTTTATTTCTTTACCTATCAGATCATCACCAACTATACCTTCTAATCTGTGGTCAGATTTAAGCTTATTGGATAAGTGTTTGCTAATAGTATTATATTTAGATGTTGTATCAATTAACACTTTTACTGGGATTTTTTCTTCTATGAGTGTATTGATGAACATGTTAAATATGTTTAATGATGTATATTATAACCAAAAAATAATATTTATTCTGAATTTTATTATGTATTAATATAATAAATAATAGCAAAGCTAGTACCAGGATACATATTACGATACGATATTGACAATGAATAAAACTACATTAGAAAATAATCATAAATCTCGAAATGGTAATAGTGTGATATCTCACATTATTAAACAAGTGTCAAATAAAAAAATTCAGATCTCTTTTCATCAATTACTAAAAATAGTAAAACCCGAGATTCGATAGGATATTATAAACTTGATAGCAAACCCAGATATTTCTCAAAGAAATCATACACTATGCAAGGCTAAAAGAAAAAAGAGATTTTTAAATGATACTACATCTGAGTTCTCATTCTCATCTTCATCTGGGTCTAGTTATGAATAGTTTAATAATGAAGATTTTGTTATAAATATGGTGAAAGCAAAGAAGTGTGATTAGTTCTCATTGTCAAAAATTTTTCTGTATAAATTGATATTATCCTTGACCTCACTATTTTTTTGTTTAGATGCTGGAGTATACAAAGTTTTCCCAATGGTCCTTACTAATAATATCATATCCTAGTATTAATAAACATTTACATATATATTTGGGCAGATGATACTTTGTAAATCGTAACCAAGCTTCTGGTGTTTTTAGATTATTGATATAGTTTAAATCATATTCAGTTAACATGTATTGGGTATAACTATTTTTTGTCCATTCCTCAAAAATATCTTGAATATTGAGCGAGTTGTATGAATGCATTATATATCAAATGTATTGTTTTATCTAACTAAGACATTTTTATTTCATTTACTAAATTTTCACTACATGTATCTTAACTGATTTCTCTACTAGATAAAAAAAATAAATTGTGAAGATTTGCCAAAGATAGCTAGATTGCCATTGCTTTGAGCACCTGTTCTACTTCTTTATCTGACCTAAAAAATAAAAATGCCTTCATATATTTATTTTATCGAAAGAGCTAAGACATGATTTAGAATATAGCAGTTTTTTAGAAGCTAGCTAGCATTGAATCAATTTCTGCTATTTGAGATTCGAAGAAATTAGAATTATTGTTTTCAGGTTGGAATGATGAGGCCTGAGATCCAGAGATTGGGCTAGGCACTTGGTCAGATTCGGATTCGAGATCAAAGTCTTCTGATTTTGTATCACCTATAGCATAATTCTTTCCCACACCTAGACGAACAATCTTATGCCTCAATGCTATTCTGTTAAGAAGATCAAGATGCTGATGAGTTGGGTTTGGACCACCGTGAACTTTGCAGGCATGCTTTTCTCCTATTTTTCTTAATATTTTAGGCATGATTTTATAAGGCTTCAAAAACTTGCTAAATGCTCTAGTATTGCGCTTTCCATTTTTACTAAAGGTAGGATCACTTAACTTTCTGGCCTTTATAGCCTCTTGAATCCAGATAAGCAATGCTATTGCACGTTCTGGGTTCTTCTCCATTGATAGGAATGGGCGAGGTTCTGGATCATTCTTATTTTCTTCTTTATTCTGAGCATATTCAGTGCAATACCAAGAATAACTATTTTTATACCATGCCGAAGGATTAGATGGGTCAACTTTATAGTGATCAATCTGAAGGCTGGATACTTCAGCAGGTCTCATACACAACATCATTATTACATCTGCGAGATTCTGTAATAAGGAATCTTTGGTAGTATCAATGTTTTGAATTCTTTTAAGTCCTTTTTCTAAGGAGAAATGTGGTGGAATTTTTAACTGATTATTGGCTACATCTTGTTCAGTCCATTCTTTCTGAATTTTGTTAGAAGCCATGGTAACACCCGGAAGTTTAGCATAAATATCAATAGGTTCTTGAGCAATACCAGCTTTTGCCAATTTATTACAAAATAAAGAGAGTCGCTAACAGAAGGCAATGATTTTGTCATTACTTTTTAAACCTAAATCGAGAGCATGGATATAAATATCCCACTCATCACCAGTTTTGGCACAATAGAGAGCTCTTTTTTCAATAGTGAGCTTTTTCTTTCTTTTGTCTGGCACAAGAACTCCTATTTGATTTTCTTTGAATAAGCGCTAACAGAGAGCCTCTTTCACATCTTTACGAGCCTTCCAATCCGGTAACATAGTACTAAGCTCATTAGCGTGAGCACATAATTGAAGCAGGTTTGATTCGGCCGATAGGTTATATTTATTGAGAACCTGATCCAAAATGGAGGTAAAGCTATTAGTTTTGGGTTTTTTAGTTTTTCGAACAGTTGCCATAATAGATATGTAAATAATCTATATCAATAAGTAAAATGTAATTATACATTAATCTACTTATTTTTTAATTCGAAATTAATTACGCTTTTTCCTCTTATACTTAAAAAAAAGAGGTTATGTATACCTATAGGGTTACCAGATGTTGAGCTATATGATTATACTTCATGCATAGATCAGAGAAGTCAGATATATAATTCTTAAACCTGGTAATTTGTACACATAATTCATTCTGCTTTTTTTTATCATAATTCTCTTTACTTTTATATTTTTCCACATGTTTATTGCATGCATTATATTTAAACCTATTTAGCTCACCACAATCTCTACAAGGAGTAGGTATTGGAGAATTATGATAAATATAACATCTTTCTGATTTACTATGTCAATCACAGATTTCTCCAGTTCTATGAATATATGAGCAATGGTATAATATCATCGTGATTATATATAATAATTACTTCAATCAAATATATAATTTTTTTGGCATCTAGCTAAAATTTCTGAAATAATTAATTTTATTTTAAAGATTTATCTACCAATTAATAAAGTTTCAATAACATATACTTTTTGTCAGATTAAACAATGCACATATACAAATTAATCAAATGAGTTTGTCTAGTAAAGCAAAAAAATGTTTATGTGAATCATTACATCAACAGCGTCTAAATCAAAAGTTGGCCGAAAATAATGAAGCAAAAAAGCTTTTCATAGGTTTAACAGATCTTAACTATAAACCTGATTATAGAAATCATATGTATTATAAATATTTGCTTTCATCCGATAATAAAAATGATATTGCACTTTTAGAAGCATACCATCCTGAAGAGATTTATTTTCAATATATTATCTGGATAGGAGAAAAAGGCTTTATATTAGTTGAACATCCTTCTGAAGTTTATAAAATACTTGATTCCCATGAGTGTATTGACAGAAATCAACCTCTTCATCCAATACTTGATATTGATGCCAGACAGAAACCTGATCCTACCAATTCTGAACTACCTTCCTTAGATAGTGAAAAAATTTCTCGTGAAGATTTAATGTCTAAAATATTGATTGCTTATATAGATGCATTAAGTCTTATACCAGAATGTATGCCTTTCTTGCAATCTTTTGTATTAGCAAGTTCATCAAATGCTAATAAATGCAGTTGGCATATTGTTTATTCTCATGCCCGATTTATTGACTATAGAGAACTTAAAGGCTTTACGAAAAAAGTTATAGAATTAGTAGGAGAGCCATATTCTAAATTCATTGATGTTGGCCTTCCCAAATCACGTTTTAATCTTCAATTACTTAGATCAGCAAAAGAGAATAGAGTTAAAAGACCAGCCATTTCATCAGTTAAGAATGGATTCAAAAATCTAGAAGACTATTTAGTTCAACCAAAATCCGATTATTCTGTGATCTGACCACGAACCTTTCCTGATGAGAAGCCAGCAGAAGAGGAATTTAAACCTATTGATGATGATGATGCTTTGGTTAAAGGAGCTAATTTAGTTATTGAAAAATATGGGAGGCTCCAGATTGGAAGAGCCGAGAAAGGGTTCATCAACTTTTAAGCACAATCTGTATTATATAATAATGAGCTCCACTCTAAAGATTGCCCTATATGTGATGTTAAACATGAAAAAGACCAACTCTACAGATTTATTCGAAAAAATGGACATTTTATACTCAAGTGCTATCGGCAAAAACAATATAAACCAGATCACAAAGGGCTTAGTTTTGATAAAGTATCAAATAAAGTCAAATCAGAAGTGAAACTCAAGAAGTGGGAATTAATTGAAAGATTGCCCAAGGCTGTAAAACATCTATGCCCACTCGTAGAATTATCTGGAAATAATATTAATGTTAAGGAAATGGAGAACGCCCCAGAAGCTTATCCAGATTTCATGAGTGAGGAACCTACTACAACCCTAATTCGCTCACCTGTTGCCAGCGGAAAAACAAAAACCTTAAAAGAGATTCTTAACTCTTTAGCTAAAAGTGAAGCAAGTTTACCTTGTTTTAACTGGGTTTCATACTGTAAAACTCTTAGTAATGAAACTAAAAGTAAAATCGAAGTATTACAGAAATCTGGGCTTCGTGTATGCCATTATCAGGAAAATGAAGGTAATTTAACTATACGTGACTGAGATGTTATTATTGTTCAGATCGAAAGTACACATCGTTTTAATTTTCATGGGGGTCATTCTTATGTAGTTATTTTAGATGAAGCGAATGGTATTATGCGTCAAATGGCAAGTGGAATCTATGCACGAGAATCTGAAAATGCCATGCGGGATTTGTTAAAGTCGGCTGTTCATGTGGTTGCCATGGATGCTTTTGCAAATGAGTTAACTTTAGCCTTCTTAAGACAATACCGGAGTGGAAACATTCGAGTTTTTGATAATAAGTATCAGCCACGTAAAAGTAAGACTGTAAAATTTCTTTATGATTCAAATAAAGGTTCAGAAGCTATATGTAAAGGTCTTAAGATGCTTAAAGAAGGTAAGTGTGTTGTCTTTTCAATGACCTCCTGCAAAAAGGCTTGGGCAATAGCTAATCAAGTATCTAAATTGCAAAAACCAGACAGTTCATGTGTTTTATCACGAGTTTATTTTAGTCAAATAGATGAAAAACAATGCCAGAATGACTTTGCTGATATTAATGCTACCTGGAGTGGCCTTGATTGTGTAATCTATACAAGTACTGTGGAGTCAGGCATCTCGTTCAAAATTCCTAACTATTTTGATGCAGTTATAGCAATTAGTAATATTAAAACAGGAGTACATGCTGAAGCATTTACTCAGATGCTTTATCGAACTCATGATTGCCCATATTGTATTGTTTCTCTTTACAATAGTAAAACACATTCTGAGATTTTTAAAGAACCAAATCGTGATCTTATTCGCACAGAACTTTTAGCCTTAAGACCTGGAGATTTACCAACTGCAATAAAGGGGCACTGTGAATGGAACAAAATCGCTAACTGTTATATACTTGATTCATCTTCAGTAGTAGAAACTTATATTGAGGTTGAGTATCAGAGATGCTTATCTGCCAAATATTTTTCAGAAATTCTTTGTAGTTTGATTGCTAGTACTGGTGCATCGCTAGAATTAATTGCAGTAGAAGATACCAAATTAGCCAAAGCTTCTCGTACAGAAATATTTCATACTATTAAGAATACTGAAGAAAGGATCAAAAGTTCTAATGCAGAATTAATAGTCAATGCTCCAGATATCAATCCTAATGAAGCTAAAATGCTTAATCTAAATCCTGAACATTCTTTTGCTGATAACATAACCCTGCAACGACATTATTTATGGAGAACATATGCTTCAGGCGATATTGGAGTTAAGGGTGATATTCAAAACTGAGGTATAAATAACAATAATTAGGTTAAGCTTTGTGATATAGATTTTGTGAAAAGATATAATAATCCTGAACCTTTACAATATTTTAGAAGGCTGGCATATTTCAGAAGGCAAGGTTCTAATGCAATAAATTCTATAGAAAATCTAAAAATCAAAGAAAAAATGCAATGAAAAGATTCACATGAATCTATAGATCCATTCTCAGTTGATTTGCATAAATTTTATTCAGCTAAGCAGTGGGAAGCGGTATATAATCTTGTCCAATCGATAGGCTTCAGTGATATAGATGACACAAATATTCTTTCTAGTGATGATGTGGCTAAAACTTTTGAGCAATCACAGAAAAAAATTGGTAAAATTCAGGAAGATGCATTATTACTTTTCGGTTTTAAGACCAGAGCTAAAGGATTGCCCGATCTCAAGGCTACAATAAAATTGATTAATGCAATAGTAGGAAATTAGTGTGGTTATATCATTAAGGGTAGTGCAACTCGTGTAGGTTCTAAGGGACATCAAGTATGGAAACACACTTATTGGATTAATCGTAGACCATATGGTGGAGCTGGTTTTAAAAATCAAGAAGAAGTAATGGCTTCAAAGTTACGTATTCCTAATTATCATTCTATAGCTCCAATTA